GTCCTGTTCCCAATTCTATATGCCATTTCTGTGAATTGGATGTTATATTTCCTTACATTTCATTTGCTGCTGTGGGCAATGAGCTTGGGATTTTTTGAATCTTTGTATTAAGTCTGTAATATGTTGGCCTTCTTCAGGTTCCCATTATGGCAATGTGAGATTTGTCCTTAYGCTTCCAGAGTGTCCCAGATTGCTCATTGAGTCACTCTAATATCGTTTTGCTTTCTATTCTACTCTGTATTTATATCCTTCTTTAGGGCACTATTATTCATGCTCGTAGGTTTTAGTGTTACATTTTTGCTGACAAGTCCCAAATCTGTTTCTCAGTACCTGCTGACCCAGAGCTGCCTCTCCCTTTGCTGCACGATTGTCTTTATGCCATTCCCGTTTGGAGAGATGTCATCAAACCTTTGCAGACAAGAATGAGGTGCAACTCAGAGCTGTCTGAATATTTTTCTCTTTTATATTCTTATTTGTCATTGACTTTTTGGGATGTGTGCAAAGTTGCACTTGATTTACCTAGTTATGTTTATAAGTATTTCTAATATGACTGCATTATTGTAAATATTGACATTTTTACACAAACTGAGGTTTTAAATGTTATAGTATATGAAAGATGCCATGAGATGCCATGAAGGATTCCCAAGTGCAGGCAGGACCCTGGGGTTTGACACTTTGGGCAGACAGAAGTTGAATGATTTCATAAGATTTTCACACCTCTAAATATTTTGATTTAACCCTCCTACTGCTATAGTTAGCAATGCTTAAGGTGCTACAMTTAATTTCTCCTGTGTGATTTCTGGTTTTGTTAAACCTTGAGTAGCTGATAGTTTTCTGAAACTATTTAACTTGAGGTTTTTATCTTTTCTTTTGCTGATCTCTTCTGTATGTCTCCAGCCTGCACTGTTTATGGGAAAAATGCAATTCCTTATCTTATCACACTTTTATTGAGAGATCTCTGCTGACTTTACTGGAAAGAAAAMGGATTGATTTAATGCTTATACCCTCTGCTTGCATAGTAATTTGTTCCTCTTGGGGCTCTCTAGAGTTTAAGTCTAGACTTTACATCTAGCCCCCTTTGGAAAAGGAGCTGTTAGGTTTTTATACGTTATTTGTCTGTATCTCAGGCTCGTATATTGCATTTCTCCTGAAAGTCCCAGTTTGGGATTAATTCAGTCTCTAAAATTTTTAAGCCCAATTTGCAGAGGAGCTTCAAATCGATCCACAATCAGAACAGCAGCAACACGAGCTTAGTCCAGAAATCTGTATTATTCAAAGAATTATGCTTAAATAGGTGAGCATCTTTTCCAGCTGGGAGAACAGCTTAATAGGTGGAGGGAGATGAAGGCTTACAAGGTGAGAAGTTGGAGCTGGTCTTGCCGTGGCATTCTGAGGAGACCAGGAGGGTASAGCTGGTGATATGCAAGGACTGGTCTTGTTATTCCATCTAAAAATCAAATTATTGATGCCTGTAGCAGTGATGTTTGGTGGCTCTGCTTGAGGTGTCCTAGGTGAATGGAGGGTCTTGCTGAAACAGGGTCAGTCCTAACTTTTCCCTGCATCTACAACACACATGTTTAAAATGAGGAGGTGTTATAACGTATTTGACCTTGTTGATGTTCTCGGTTTTCTCATGTTCCTTGATTTTTAATCTCTGGATACGTTTTCATTTACTTTGTCTTCTGGCCTGTTTATTTAGCTTTGAATGTTCGCTGTGTATTCCCTAATTAGATTTTCTTTTAGAGGCTTTCGATAACTCCACGTTGTTTACAAGGAGGATGTTAAGGGAAGAGAGCTGCCTGGATTTTGCTGTCTGAACCTTGATTTTGTACATTTGCTTGGCTTCTTCCAGAGTCTCTTGCTTAATCAGGAGCCCCTCAATTTCACAATAACTTCTTTTTTTAGCATTTGTCACTGAACATGGACCTGCCCTGCAAAATCGCAGTAAATGCACCAGTTCTGGTTGCTTCTGACTAGCTGTAGGAGTAGAAAACTCCTAAAATGAAAACAAAATACATTGTACTCTTTTCTTAATGGCACCTTTATAGCACGAGAGATTGAAAGCCAAAGGCGTGTACTGCCAAATGCATCGGTTTCAGCAACCCTAGTGCTTCTAAGCGTGCAGAGAACAYGCAAGCAGGTATATACACAAATATATGTGTGCATATAACCACACATGCATGTGTATATCTGCATATGTAGGAGTTGTGATCTGAGAGGACAGAATAGAAGAAAATGGGTATGGTGGAGCCACCGACTTTGCAGGAGGACTGWTCTCCTGAGGTGTTTTATGTTGTTATATTAATGTGTAGTTTTCGGTGTTCTCTCAAATGAAAAAGATGGTAGTTTTTCCAGGCAGATAATCTATTCATCCTGCATATGTCAGAGTACAAGTATTTTCTTAAAACGACAACAGCAAAACCRAACTGTTTAACATAGGGGAAAAAAAAAAGAGCAAATCCTTGTACATTACTTCATTATCCTTCAGCTTGGCCTAAATTAATTTACTGGTGATTTACTGGTGTACTTTTTGAAAACACTTTACTTTCTCTGAGATAGCTATAGCCTGTATTTTAACTCTCAATTAATTTATGCTTTGTTATGATTACCAAAAATTGTAGTAGCACACCAAAYATTTTGCTACTGAGCATGTTCTAAAATGAGTGGCTGGTAATTGTTTGTAAGTCTATGGAATKTAATTAAACTGTGTTTAAAAGTCTTAGAGACTGTCGACTGAAAAATCAAGTAAATAAAATGTTTACAAATGGGTACATAAATATGCATAAGGCGTTAGGAGAGCAGCCTGTTTACAATGCTGGGCTCGTCTGTTTGCAAAGACAACATCCAGTACAGCATGTCTCTGATAATTATATTTTGGCTTAATAAACAGAAATGGAAGGATGCTTATTTTTAATTATGTTAATACTATTTTTTTGAGGCATTCAAGAAAACTGAAGAGAAAGAATTTCTTCTGGAAGAGTTGAAATTTAGTTCACAGACTATTTTAAAACTTATGTATTATTTGGGGGAAAAAAAGTGTAACACTGACTTCCACCTCCCCCCATAACCTCCTCCAAAAATTAGGTAACTGCTAAAAGAAGGAACAGCTTTTATCCTTTGCATGAAACATAGGACACACTTAAAATCTATACCAGCTGCAGAAGATTTCTGATGGATTGGTTGTGCCTAAAACAGATTTTGCATCTCTACAACAATTTCCATTTCAGAGGATGTTATTCATATTTTTGTATAGAGATATAGGCCTATATCTATGTGTGTATACATATATGTAAGCATGTGGGATAATGTTCATGCACATAGGCCTACTTCTCAGTTTAAAGACTTCTAGTTCTGTAAGAATTTTGCCAAAGGTGAATTAATGGCTTGGATTTTTTTTTTTATTTGATTTTATTTTATTTTTTTTGCTTCTGGTCTAACATTGAAAAAGCCAGAGGGAGTTAAGGCTCTGCACACACTTATAGTAATTGGGTTTTTGACAGATTTTAAAATACTTGGCTCAAAAAAGTAATAATAATAATAATAAAAAAAAATTCTAGAGAAGCAATAGATTACTGAGGATTTATCCATGTAAATTGGCTTTCTGGGCTTGAATTGAGTTTTCAAAAATGTCATGGAACAGTCACAAATGAAATGAAATTCTATTGCAAGTGGACAGTGGTGTGGTTTCCCCCTCCCCACCCCCCTTCTGGAAAAAAATCAAAAAGCTTTTAAATTATTTCAAGACAGACAAACAGTAAAAGTCAATTTTACAATGAAAAAATACTAAGGACATTTTTCTCCTGATTCTCCCTCCACAAAAATAAATTACTGAGAGAGCAAGTTTCTTGAGGAAATGTTTGCAAGTGCCAGGCAATATTACTTTYTAACCACACATTTTCCATGGACCCTTAGCTAAGGGGAACCCGTGTTGACCAATTTAAGCTGAGGATGTGGAAGGAAGGATGGGTACACTGTATATCTACTGTGTACTATTTCTATAAATACTTTTACACATATACACGCACATCTATCTATCTATATATCTCACACTGTTGGCTTCCACCYTCATTCTGGTATTTATTTTTTCCCAGACAATATATTCACCTAGAGAGACCCTAGTGCCCTTTGGTTCCCMTTTATTCCTATATCTGCTGCAAGCAGCTCTGTGGTTCATGGGGAATGTCTGTATAAATTTCTTCTTAATATTTTAAACCTGTTCTGTGTTTTCATGCAGTGGTTCTGTATTTGCCTGAGTAACACCCATCAGTAAGCAGCCAAGGGAGAAAATGTTTGCTATGTCAATGTGTTATCAGATGAAAACTGTATTCATTCTCCAACAACCTCTTGTGCAAAATGTACAAGGAACAAGAAAAAGACCTCTTAAAACTTATGAGGAACAAGATCCATTTCCACATGTTGAAGAGAAATTCTGAAACTTTTTGCCATGAATTACCTGCTTTCTTCTCAGTAGCATTCCAATGAATTCGTTTTCCTGTTCCAGTGACTCTAAACTAGGACAGTTAGAAAATTGGGTAAAGTATTTCAGCAAATAATAATGGGCAATACCCTGTTTTCTGTAGATCTTGTTAAATAATGTAAAAATGTATTCATGGAGGGGAAAAAAAATCCTCCCTGTTAATAATAGTGCTGTTTCCAAGTTTTAATGAGACTCCTCAGGGGCCCAGCAATGCAGAGTGGTAGATCTCATTATCTCATTAGAGGACTTGGGCTAACATCAGGAGCAAGTTGGATTAAACCAGTGTACAACCAATGTGTTCCCTGAATCAAGGCACCTGGTTTCAGAAAAATGCTGGGAAAAAAAAAAAAAAAAAGGTTTTCTTTTTCTGAAATTTGTTACTTTTCCTAAGTTAGGTAAAATTTAATTTCATTTCTGAAAAGGAAGCTCATGCAGGATTTTGGATAGAAGATGCTCCCAATATGCAATTTGGGAACTATTTATGCTTTTACGCTGATTAAGAATTTGAGATTTTTGCTTTCAGGTATATTGCTGATGAAAATGTGAGTTCACAGAAGTCTGAACGTGAAGTCCATATTGTTATATGAAGTTATATTGCTATAAAGCACCCACTGCTGTATGCTCAAGATCCACAGCAACACTCAAGTGCTTCTCATCCATTGAAAAATTCACACACAACACTGAAGAAATCAAGTAAAGAGAACATTGAGAGCAAAAAAGGAAATAAGAGGAGAGGGAGAAGTTGTGGAAAGTGTGCTCCTGTGCATCCCAGCTCCCTGGAGAGGTGGTTGCTTTGTGCCAGTTCCTGAGTTTTTACACTCTCATGGACTATTGATTGATTAATCAGTGTTATGAGACATCCCTCTTAAATAAGTATGCAATGCAGGCAAGGCGGTTCACATATTCTAATTTTTGTCTGAGCAATAGTAGGCTGGAAACAAATAGGAAAAGTCACTGGATTGTGTAGCTGTAGGATTGCGAGACCTCAAACACTGCCGTTGAGATGACCAGGCATGTGTTGTGTGCCTCAGGGTCATGAAATAGGAGGAAGAGGAGCACTACTTCTTGTTCCATAGTTTTCACGTGGAATGTGGGTTTTGGCTAGTAACGCAACAGACCTTGTGTTGTGTAAAATATCTAGTGACAGTTGTCATGTTGCCATCTTTACTGCTAAGGAAAATCAATATGGAAGCCAATGAGAAAATCATCTAAATAAAACATGACATAGCTTGATAGATAAGGGAGGCAACTGGGCTGATTTTTAACTGGGGAATAAATATATCATGGTAAACCTGACACCTGCTTATGTGCTCCTAAATAGTCTGTGTTTTTTTTCTTTTAAATGAACAGACTTAAGAATTTGCTGKGCTAATCAACAAAACCTGTGCCCAAGGGAACCAGAGGGCAATGACATTGACCACTTCATGTATAACCCAGCTGCTTTGGATATTGTATGCAGCATGTAGCTTRTCTGTAATAACACTGCTTGCCTCCCAAACCACAGCTGGACTGRTGGCTTCTGGTAGATGACTCCCATTCCATGGAGGCTATCCATGGGACACTCATCTTGCCCSAGCACTGCTCATAGATTCTGTATCTGACATTACTCCCCTCTGCATTAAGCAGTGGCCTCTGCTATGCGATGCTGTCATTGCATCCCTGTTTAGATGCAGAGGTTAAGTGTGAATCATCTGGGTAACCAAAAAAGCAAATTTCTTCCAGGGAGGCAATGCTTGAAGGCCCTTTGGAGAGGAAGGGAGAGAAGCGGTGCCTCACCCAGCACAGCTGGTGCTGGGGAGTGCTTAATCCACCTGCTCGAATACAAATTTTACCCAAAGAGAATTTTTATCTTTTTACAGCTGAGAGCCCCATGGCATCAACGTGCTGTAAACGGTGAACTGCAGACAACCCCTGTCACTGTCTGTTGGCATTTCAGTTCTGGAAAAATGCTTTGATGTGTCAGCAGCAAAAAAGGAATACAAAGAAAAATATGTTTACTCTTTTAGCTTGCTGTAGCAACTATATTGATTTCTTGATATACTGTTCCTAAGATGTCTCTTTTGTGGAGGGAAGGAGCCTCCCATGTTTTAGACTTCAGTTAGTATTGTGCTCTATCGAAACAAGTCGTTCCTTAAAATTCGGTCTGAATGAATCTTTCACCTCCTCTCTGCACACAATAGGGTAGAAATGCTGTATTCTCCTCTGTTTTAGGTATTTATTTCATGATGGTTGCTGTGCTGCTGTTTCTGTATAAAATTGTAATAACTTATATTAATTACCAGTGGAAGGACACTGGATTTTTAAAATGAGTTTGACCAAAATGTCAACTCCTTGTTTGGTACAACCACGTGAACTCTAATACTATTTTCCATTTTTATAATGTTTCCTTTCAAGAAACTCGCCTTCACACTGTGCTGCTGATGAGCTGTTTCTCCTACAAATTCAAGGATTCCAGAGCACTTTAAAAAACATACCCACGATAAACAGAATTACAACTCTCCTTACTGAAAWGCAGCTTCTTTGGAGGAAGAAGGGTGCACAGACAACTGCTGAGAGCATATTTTTKGGGAAAAAAGAAGTAGGCATTTTGTCTAATGACAGGAGTCTCTGGAGTGCACAGGATTAAACTTTGGCATTTTTAATTTAGCGACTTTCATGCCAATAAGAAATCACTAAGTAATGACAAAGAAGTAGTTAAGCTTATTTAAAAGATGGGGATTTTGAGTCGTGGACTTAATTTGCTGCTAGGTATCTTGTAGACTTCACTTCCGTAGCCTTTGGGAGCTATTGGATCAGGAGTAAGAATCTGATATTGCCATTTTGTAAAACTTCTTTTCAAATTTAGTGGCTCAGGGTTGGGTTTTAGAGATTGGAGATATATAAGCCCAGTGATACGGTGTTATTTTTGTCAATAGCAATCATGGGTAATGAGATGTATCTCTTGGTTTCATTTGAATTTTAAAAGATGTTATAAGTTATTTTTAAAACTTTATCACAACTGGCTGCAATCACAGATAAGGCAGTTAAGTGTACAGCCTTATTGGAAGTTATGTGTTTGAGATAAATAAAAGATTCGATCATAAGTGGAAGAAAAGAGTCAATATTCACTAATCTAATTTCTATATATAAAATAAACATATATATGCAGATAATTAGTTTTTCATTGTTGTCATCTTAGCATTTCTATCTGCAATGTGAAAAAATATATGCAAAGAGGGAGCTTCTCACTGCCCAAAATGGGATGTAAAGGCCCTTCATTTGCGTGTTCCCCTCTGAGGATACTTGCTGCAATAGGTTTCTACTGGCATATTAATAGGTTTTATAAAGACAGTTTTCCTCGTAAGTAGTGACTAGAAGATGATTGACAGGTGCTTTTTGTGGCRCTTTTAGGGGTTTTTCTGCAACATCACTGCTGCAACTACAGCTGATCCCAGAGGTTTTTCCTTTAGAGGGTTTGCTGAGAAGAGCTGCAGAGGGTGAAGCTCGTGCAGCAGTGGCTGGGGGTGAGTTTCCAGCTATTCCCTGTGTGCATACACAAAAMTACACGTGCAGAAATCCACCTGCAGCCCCCTGGGCTGTGCCAGTGGACAGGTCTGCGTGTGCGCTGCGTGTTTCTGGGCTTAACTGCTTTGCACTGAGAACAACTCTGCTGCTTGGCCCATGTTTTAAGGAAACCGAGCCCTGATAYGACTTGAAAATGCAAGACTTGCAATTTTTACTCTCCCAAAAAAAAAAGCCTGGTGTCAGATCCTAAGCTGGAATACGTTGTTTACGCTTCTTTACACAAGGAGATCAAAGTCATCATTAAGAACTGCAGCCCCGTTGGCTGCTAAGCACACACGTTCCCTGGAAAATTGGCTTCCACACATGAAAAATCCCTTTGCAATATTAAGTGTATGCTTGAGAAGCAGTATGCAGCAAGCACGCGAGCTGCAGTCATATGCTGCTGAGAATATTCTGCAATTTAATTGCAATTTAAGGCTCAATCATATGTCCTCTAAGGAAACCCACTGATACCTAATTACAGGAAGATTATAAATGATAATGACAGCATAATGAATTACAGAACCTTTATGGCTTCTTATCACAATTTCCTGCTGTGAATCGAGGCAGGTAAATAAAATGTAAAGTTATCTTTGAGTGGCATATGGTTATCTTCCATATGAGGAGTCTAAGAGGAATTACAAAATTGTGTACCCTCAGTTTTGTGAGGATAAAACAAGTTCCTCGAGCTGCAAACCTTTTGTAAATTTGGAAAATCAGAACACACTGATGTTATGGCACTAGATATCAGCTCTGATGTCTGACGCTGGAGCGTTCTGGCTTTTTACACTTACATCTGTATTATTCTATTTTGCTTTTGTCTTTGCCAGTTCCCTCTCATTTTTCTACTCGCCAATACCATTGTGCCCCTCGGATTAAAATTGTGAAGGTAAAATTGCAAAGAAAAGCAGCTGCAGGGTCTCACTGCAATACTGAACACGAGCAATAGTGAGATCACACTTTTGGTGGGTACAACATTTTAAAACAATCCTCGAAAATCTGTCCCAGATCTTGTCTTCTGGGTTGTGGCTTTGTCTTCAGCTTTTAACATTATTCCTGCACAGTTCATACTCTTTAAATTTTGGGGAGATTTTGGATCTCATAGCTTTGACAAATGTTAACTTTGAAATCACGGGAAAATTTAAGACCAGTCACCATCGCTTCAGCGTTTTYGAACCATGATTTAAAAAGCTCTGATTCCAAATACTAAGTTTTATRTCCACAACTGAAGGATTAAACTGCTACAATTTCTTTATATTCTGTGAGTTAAGGCATTTCAACCTGTATAATTATTTTGCTTTGAGCTGTAAAAATGTTGAAACTCTAGGCTTTAGGGTTGGTCCTTATGTTATCTATGGGTTCTAATCCCAATTTGGCCTTTACCTTCCTACCCAGTATAGTGAATAATAGTGAATAACTGCATTTCTCTGACCTTATTTCAGAGCATGTCTCCTGAACTCATTTATTTATTTGCTTTTTTTTATAGGCAATCTTCACACGTGCTCTTATTGTCCAGATTTGCACTCTCTGTGCTGGAATTGTTGATTTATTCTATTGTCTTTGCCCAAGTGCAGGTGAGGGTTTCCTGCTCTCATGGTCGATATGGTCAGCGTGTCGGAGGACAATATACAAAGTTTGGTTCTTTTTTCCCTGCAAACCTTGTTGATGTTACCTGAAATCCAGCTCACGTGGAAGGAAAACTTCAATCAGTGCTGCTACAATTAGAGCAATTTGCCACAAAGTGCAACTAAAAYATATATTATTAGTGAAAAGGAAGGAATTGTCATCAAAGAGTACGCAGAGTGAGCAGCAGCAAAGTGAGCATTTTTTTTTTCCAAAATAAATTAAACTGCCTAGTTGTGAATATAAGGCAATGAGATCCCAGATTAAGCAATTTATTTCTGACAATTCATTTCTGTGATTCTAATGACAAATATCTTTTTTTGTGCATGCTGATGCTAGTTATTTATGTATTTTATCAKCATCTTATTCCCTGGGCTCATTCTGAAACATCCTGGGATGTCAAGATACTTAGCGTGGCTTTGACTGCTCTGTTTCATCATTTTTCTAAGTGCTTCATATTAAATTTTGTGTGAGGATCTAATAACTGTGGAAAAAGGCAGCTTGTCACTCACTGTTCATTTTCATCTTATTCTTCTTTTAGTCTTTTTATATATATATATTTTTTTGTCCTGGTCACCTTTTTAGGATGATGGAATTCTCTAGGTGCCAAAACTGCCTAAGCGTGTCAAAAAACCCTTCTTATCTTCTCAGCTTTGGTGACAACTCTCTTAAATTGTAAGTCTTGGAGTAGTTTCTGTATGAAAATTCATGATGCGTTAATTAGAAAATGATAATCTTTCCTTACATTTTTGAGAAATTCTGCAGGAGACAATAATTATGTGTCTGTATATAATGGACCATGAAAATATGTAGGTTTCTGGAAACCCTGAGATGTTAAAGTTCATTCTGAGCTACAGTATCACAAATCCATATGGGAAAG